AAGTTAATTTAAAATTAAAATCAAACTTTTTTGTTTTTACTATAAAGTGTGTAAGATTTTGTTTAAGCATAATTTTACAATACATAATAATTATTAATTGTTATTTCTAAACGTTTTATAAAATATATTAAATAAGTGAGTTACTTAAAAGTGGCTATACAAATGGTGGCTTAATAAAGTTAAAGGCTTAAGACAGTAAATACTTAGTTAAATATTTATATAGTTAAATATTGTGTTATAAATTGATATTCRTTGTAGATTTAAAATAATTCAAATCAGGTACCAATACATAGGTACTAGGTATGTTTATAACTAAAATTATTGTGAAAAGTAATAATTGATATACATACTTTCAACTATATTTAAACATTTTAAGCTATGCACAAAGTTTGGACTAGTACATTTTTTACAAGYTTTTAATTTTAAAAATAAAACCACATTTTGGCCATTTTGCTCAAAATTACTTACCTATAATCAAATATTGAAAACTGAAATAATCTACATATTTAATATAATGTATCCAAGATAAAAGTCGACAAGGCTCTAAGTTAGTTCACACATTGACTTTARATAAATAAAATAACTTTGTTTGTATAGGTACCTTTTCTGTTAAAACTAATTGAAAATAATTAWCGTTATACACATAACGCTTCGGCATTTTTCTACGACGATAAATTTTCTAAATGTAGTTTTTTTTAATATTATGTCAGACCTCATTAAATTTGCCATCTTACAAATGAATCAAATGGACATGACATGCTGTTGTTGAATAAATCATTTAGGAATCAGTATACTTGCTACTTATTACAGAAACTGCAAACAGTTGAAGTTAACCAATTTCAGTCTTAGAGAGTTTGRCAAATGTACCTATAAATAAACAGCCTTCTTTAATCTTTATCATAAAGTGCTAAGATATATATGCCAATTTAATTTCATCCAAAATAAATATCTAAAAATATATTAATACATTTTTAATTTTAAGAAAATGTTGTGATAGAAAAAAACAAAATTATGCCATGCTATAGGGTGGTAAAATTGYGATAGAAAATTTGTAGCATGGATTCTATGAGTGTGACAATAAAAGGTTCTTAGAATCCTTAATTTGAACTATTCTACTCAACCAGAAATTTTTAAATTTGTGATTAAATTTCTCTAAAACAATCTTTAAAAATTAAATGTTGAACTGTTAACTGTAATATTTTAATTAATGTTTTCCACAAAGAAATACACTTATTTGTTTGTTGTTTAAAGAATATATTACCCATTCAATTGAAAATTTTATGATTAGAATGATACCACAAAGAAAAATATTACGAGGATTTGAATGACTTAGGAGAATGGATATAAGCATATAACTTATATATATATAATATATATATATATATATGTTATACATCAATTTGTTTTATAATTTATTATAAAATTATTTCTTGAATAAGAATAAGATAATGATTAAAAATATAATGTAATTTTAACATTAAATTTAGATTTAATAACTAATTCTTATTATCTAATTTATCTTAATTAATACAAAAATAATTGCTACCTGATTGATATACAAAAATTGTATTAAAAATGTAAAAATGTAAATATTACACTAAATATAATTTATTATATAAAAGTATGGTATTGGTATTATAAAATGATGTGTTTTGATATATGACATTAGTCATGATTGGTTACATATTTTGTTAATAATACAAATGTTTAAAGCACATAACTATTAATATAATTGAAATAATTTTTTAACAAAAACTAATTCTTAACATTGGAAAAAGTTTTTTATGGAACATTCTACATTTATAGTGAACAAAAAACCACAAAATACTGGAAAAATGAAAATGATAAAACCTAAAAAGAAAGACGACTAGACTTAATTATTTTTAGTCTGTTAAAAAATAAAATAGGATACAAAATCAGGAATATCAATTGTTTTTGTGAAATTTTAAACAACTTAAAATAATTTAATTTCGGCAAAGTTATTATTAMAATAAAATTATTATTTAAAAATAATACTTGAAATACTTCTTTAATATTTAGTGCAATAAGATTCAAATTYAAAATCTTATGATTAAAAATATATACTTCTAAAATTATACATGATTATATAATTAATCAAAATAAAAAATCTTTATAGTAAAAATAAATTAAAATATTGCCTTTGTGTGAGATATAACCCTAAGCTTATAATAATAAAATATATTATAATAACTACGAGTGATTAACTGGACGGTAGATCAACATTTTGAAACCCTGTAGTGTAGGACATTTAACAATAGTGGAATGATATATGTAATTAGCTTAATCAATTCATTAAATTAGTCAATTAATGTTTAAAATCTTTCTTTGGAAGTAGCAAAATCAGTATCTTGCAAAAGTTGTAATTCTTGAAGTTCTTCAAACTTTTCATGATCTCTAATGTRAGCATAGTTAGCAGATAAACACATCAGATAATGGACCTATTGAGTACAATAAAATCATTATTAAATTAATAAAATAAAATAATTAATATATTTTGGTAACTAGTTAATAGTTATTTTACAGATTTTACAGATTTATCAGTTTTATATTTAATCTATGTCTAGTATGAAGTAACAAGTAAATTCGGAAGTTCATGGAAAAATATTAAAAATATCAAATGGCCAAATTTTATTTCATGAAAGTATAATTTAAATATTTTCCCCAAATATTACATTAATATATTTAAATGTTTCGATGTATAGATAATATGTTTTACTCTGTTTCATAAAAGAAGGAACTTATTTGACGAATCTGACTGATGTAAACGATAGTATGGAGGTCAAATTTCTCCCACTTTTCACTACAGCAGCGAACCAAACAGTCGAAAATGATGGGAGATACTTATAATCAATGAAAAAATGAGTTCTTTCACCCATAAATCGAAGTATATTTTGTTAGTTTTTAAAATTKTCATTGAAAACTATATTATGTCTATTAAGTTTTATAGGGAACAGTATATAAATAAATTCAGGTTCCCGGTTATTGAAGTTAGATTGATTTTGAGGCATAATCTTCTTAATATGCTTCTCATTAGTCATTACTTATTATAAAACTTTGTTTTAGTCTGTTACTAGGAAATTCATATATCTTATACAAATAGTTCTTACCAAACTTATTAATATCAAAATTACACCAAAAGTAGCCATCATAAACATAAATTCTGATTTTTCAACAAAATCTCTGCAGAAAAACTTTATTTCTCGAATTTCACATATCTTTAAATATTCAATACGAGTAGATTGAGGAAAAAAGAAATCTAAAACAAAAATTTTTATTATTTCATTTCAAGAGTTTAGCTTTCTATTGATTAAATGTAGTAATCAAGTATTAATAGAAGTTGTATACTTACTAAATTGTGTTAAGTCAATGCATTGATGATAATCTTGAACTTGGGTGCTAACACACATTTTCCAAAAAACAGTCAATATAAATGTTGAAATTATTAGTAAACCAAATACAAAAATCCAAAAAAATTGAAGTATGTATATAATTCCCATAAACTAAAAAAAAAAATGTTTGTTAAATTTAAAAAAATAGGTACTTAATATTTTTTATCACATCAAAAAACTACTCACAACTGCACAAGATATACGGCCGCCAACTCTATTTCTCCATGCCTTATAAATACGACGACGTGTTGCTCCTGTTGCCAGAAATCCAACAAATATGATCATTAATGTTAGAGCTCCCATTCCTGCAGCTATCAAAACTAAAACGGTTTTTACAGTTTCAAGCCTTAAAAATATAAAATACAAAAATCATAAATATTAATACTTAGTATGAATAATTACATTGTTATTTAATATTTATATTCAGCAAAAGTATAATAAATTTAGAAAACTACATTAGCAAACATTAATGAAGGGATTGGAACTTTTAATAATTGTATATTTTTTAGGACGCTGAAAATCTGTGATTTGACATCAATTATAGTTTCTTAATGCATACAACTCAAATCTAAAATTGTCATATTTTACCAAATTAAACTAATTTTGTATTTTTTAAGATTTTCATACATATTAACACACATTTTGTGAATAAATAAACMAAAATTTTAATTTCTAAAGAAATCTATTGTTTTTGAATAAAAAGCCTTCACACTATCTTAATTTCGAATCTTTCAGTAAAGATATAACAATTATTTTTTATTTTCTATAAAAAAAAATACAATTGTATATTATAATAATGCATAGAGATGTTCCAGGTAGCAAATTTGTTATAAGCCGGGTGCCGAGTACTGGCTAAGTAAAATTTTTAATACTAACTTAGTATGGAGGTTACGTACGTGAAGTTGGCCTACCCACTTTGGAGTAGCGACTTAAAATCTTCACCAATATTTAGCGAGTTCACTTTTAG